CAACTACCTGCTGGAGACCCTCGTGAAGGTGTGGGCTGGGGGAGGCGGGCAGAGGGGGTCCCACTTCCCTGCTGAGCTGTGGTTTAGGCTGGGAAGGCAATATCCCCCTGATTGCCATGAGCTGGGTCCCCGTGGGTAACTCCTGGTGCTGGGCAGTGCTCTGTTACAGGTGAGCGGACCCACCCACCAGCAGAGGATGTGGTTGGAGCTCTGGACCTTGGTGGGGCTTCAACCCAGATCACGTTCCTTCCTGCGATCACCATAGATGACAGCACCACAAGAGCCCTCCTCAGGCTGTATGGGACCAACTACTCCATTTACACCCACAGCTACCTCTGCTATGGGCAAAAGCAAGCCCTGAAGATGCTGATGGCATCCTTACACCAGGTAACCGCCTCCAGCCTTGTGCTTCTGCACCGCAGCCTGAGCCCCTGTCTGACTGAGCTGGGCAGGCAGCACCCTGTGATGGCTGTGGGATGGCTGCTGGGCTCGGTGCCCTTGTGCAAATCCCGGTGAGGATGGTGGGTACGACAGGGCCACCATGGCAGGAGCTATCCCAGGGGTGTCCCAACAGAATGGCAGGATTGAGCCAAGATGGAGATGGACATCCCAAAGCAGGATGCGCTGCTGGGATGGTGGGTGCCTGGGACCCCTGTCCCGGGGCCATCTTGCCCACCAGATCTCCATCCCATTCCTGATGGAGGGGCTGTGCCTGTTACTGGAGGCTGGAAGGACCCAACTGTGGAGGAGGGAATATGCTGGGTGCTGGGAGGTTGGGGGAGACCCAGCAAGATTCTTTTAGCACCAGTCTGGTAACCAAGAAGTTGGTTTTATGGGAAGAAGCCTGCACAGGCTGGTCTTCAGCAGCAGACACTAGGCATGGGAGAGTGAAGGGAGGTGTCGCTGGTGCACGGGGGGACCCTCATGTCCATAGCTTGGCTGTGGGGTGAGGGCTCAGCGCTGGCTTGTGCTGGTTGGCAGGGGCAAAACACCACATCCAGAGTGTAAAGCACCACATCCAGAGAGAGGTCGGTGTCCGTTCTGGTTGTGCTTAAATGGCTTCTCAGCCTTGGCTCTCCCCTGAGTCTGGTGACCCTACAAATGAAGAGTGGGGACAAAATGGGTCCATGCTCAGCACAGGGTGCAAAGCCCCAAGGCCTTGGGCATGCGGCTGTCACTGTAGCTGATCCCTGACCAGTGTGGTTGTGCTATGCTTGTCCCTACAATTCTGTGCACGCACCCCATGGACAAGACCCCATGGGTGGTGCGGCCAGCATGCAACTGTCCTGCATCTGGGTGTGGGAAAAGGTGTTGTATCTGTGGGCTGTTTCTGTCCTTTCCATCCTCACCCTCAGGGCCAGGGCGATGCTAATGGCTCCCACTCTCTCCAGGGCAGCCCGTCTCCCCAGCAGGTATCGCACCCCTGCTACCCCAAGGGATACCAGGAGACCGTCACCACCACAGACCTCTATGACAGTCCCTGTGTCCGTGCGCCGAGCACACCCAGCCCTGCACAGAACATCACTGTGACGGGGACGGGGGACCCAGCAGCGTGCAGCGCCGCCGTCCAGAAACTCTTCAACTTCACCTGCGGGGCCAACAGGACGTGCGGGTTCAACGGGGTTTATCAGCCGCCTGTGCGGGGACAGTTCTTCGTAAGGAGCCTCCGTCCCCGTGGCTGGTGGGGGGGGTGTGGGGTTTGGGGCACCAGAGGTTGGCCAAGACCCCGGGGAAGCTGCTGTAGGAGAAAAGTCTGAATAGTGCCAGCCCTGAAAACTGGGATGTGACCGACGCATGGAGATGTGCAGGGCACTCACCAGCTTGCCAGGCAGACCCTGACCTCTGCTGTCACAGCACCAGTCTCTTTCGGAGGGGGGAGCAGTGCCAGGGGTCCCTCCCCACGGGTTGGCAGGCATCACCCTGGGGTGCTGATCGGAGAGGTGACCTTAGGGACCCTTGCAGAGCAGCCAGAGGGAGGGGCAGGGAGGTGGCAGGGTCCTGGGCGCTTCACTAACCTGCTGCCTTTGGTCTTAAACACCCACAGGCCTTTTCAGGGCTTTATTACAACCTTCACTTTCTGAACGTGACTGGAGGGCAGTCCCTGAGCTCAGCCAATGCCACCATCTGGCAATTCTGCACCAGCAGCTGGGAGAAGGTGAGATCCTGCCTAGGAGATGCCAGCCCCTGCCTGCGTTTCACCTGGGCGCTGGGCAGCCTGAGGGCTCATCCGCAGCCCGTCTTCTGCTGTGCAGATGGCAGCTGGAGGTTGCTGGGAGGAGCATGAAGATCTCTGTGCAGAGAGAGATATGAGAGAGCAGCCTGCAGCCTCCCGGGTGCTCCTTGCTCCCCAAGCCCAGGCACTCTCAGGTCTTTGCTCCCAGCTGTGCTGTGGGTGCACCGAGCACTGCTCCGTGCTGGCATCCCCCCCTTGCTCCTCTACCTCTGCAGGTGCAGAAGGACTTCCCCACCATGAACAGGACCCACCTCCGTGATGCCTGTGCAGCCAACTCCTACTCCCTCACCCTTCTCCTGCGAGGCTACAAATTCAACCACAAGACGTGGCTCAACATCCACTTTGTCCGGCAGGTAGGAAAGCACCTGGCAGATGCAAGCTTCCATGCTTTGGGCCGTGAAATGGTTCACACCCACTCTGCCCCTTCCCCTGCCCTGCCAGGGTGGGGGATCAGGAGATATGGGGGCAGCACGGTCCTCTGCCCGTGCCCTGGGCAGTGAGAAGGACCAATTAAGCAGCTCACGAGTTACACTCACAGGCACCTGCTGGGACATCTGCCTTGGGCCACTGATGCTCTCCCCCCACTTATCTCACTAACAGGGTACCTGCAGCCCAAGATGTGCACAGATACGGTGACTGTGGAGCAGGACCTGGGGGTGCATCAGCAAATGTGTCCTCTAGCTCTCTGTCTTGCATGGTACTTTGCAGCCCTTCACATCCCTCTTTCTCCTCTGTGTGCACAGGTGACCAATGTAGACGCGGGTTGGACTCTGGGCTACATGCTCAATCTCACCAACATGATTCCCTCAGAGAGTCCCCAGAGAGTCGTAGGGCTCCAGAGAAGCAACTGGATAGCAGCCACAGTTTTACTGGCCATCATGCTCATCCTCATCTTCTGCCTGCTCACAGTCATATGCTTCCAGAAAAAACACTCTGGCTATGAGAATCTCTAGCAGCACTGGCTCCAGAAGCTGCCGAAGCCACTTAGTCCTGCTGCCATGCTTGTGCGAGGAGCTGCAGACTGGGGAATCACTTCCATGTGTCCAGGAGCTGTGAACTTGTGATGTGGGGCACCTGTGTCCTGGCCTGGTGAGCTGGAACCAGCACAGGCTTTAAACAAATCCTCCCTGTAGCTGTGTGCGGTCTGGTTTTCCTTTCCCCTCACTGCTGGTTGGAGATGCTGTAGGAGGGAGGGCATGGACATGTGGGGCAGGGGCTCACTGCTGAGGGCATGGGGCTCACAGTGATGTGGGGTGACTGGAGATGGTGGGACCAGTGGGTCAGGGAAGAGAGAAGGGGGGTCTGACAGCAATTGGTTACAGCCTGCAGCAGACACCCCATGTGGGGCAGATGTGTCCTGCCCCATCCCAGGGCAAGAGCCTGCATTGCCCATGGCCACTAAGAGCGTGGTCAAACCCTGGAAGAGGCTTCCTGGAGAGGTGGTCGATGCCCCACGCCTATAAGGATTTAAGAGGCATTTGGGCAATTCCCCTAATAACATGCTTTAACTTTTGGTCAGCCCTGAAGTGGTGAGGCAATTGGACTGGATGGTCATTGTAGGTCCCTTCCAACTGAAAATATCCCATCCCATCCCATCCTATCCCATCCTATCCTATCCCATCCAATCCCATCCTATCCTATCCCATCCTATCCTATCCCATCCCATCCCATCCCATCCCATCCCATCCCATCCTAGCCTAGTCTAGCCTAGCGTAGCCTAGCCTAGCCTATCCCATCCTATCCTGTCCCATCCTATCCTATCCTATCCTATCCTCTCCCACCCATCCTATCCCATCCTATCCATCCTATCCTATCCTATCCCATCCTATCCCACCCCATCCTATCCCGTCCTATCCCATGCCAGACAGAGGGGCAGTGGCAGCAGGGCTATGGGGGAAGCTGGCCTGGTAGATGGGACTTGGGCTCTGTCCAGGAGTGGGAAGCCCTGTGAGGTGGGGGATGGCAGCAGGCCCCTGCTCTCCTGCACTAGCTTCCACTCTGGTCTGGCTTCATGCCGTGTCAGTGCCAGGCAGACATCTCGCCTTCCCTTTCCAGCACACAGGGCAATTTGGGAATGCTGCTGGGACATGTCAGGGGCAGCTCCTGGGGCCCCCCTTACAGTTTTGGGGAGTCCCACTGGCAGCCAGTGAAATGGTGAGGTGAGACACCCAGCTCTCAGAAGGAAAAGGCCTGTCCTCGTGCCCTGCTGGCTCCTCTCCGAGGTCTGGCAGATGCTGTGAGGTCTCCAGAGGCATCTCCGGTAGCACTGAGTGATGTTGACTCTCCCCTGAATTTCCATCATCATCAACCAGCCCTTACCTGGGAGACAGAAACAGTGAAATCATAACTGTTTAGGAACAACCATTTGCTGCCTTTTACACTGTTTATTTGGATGATGAGAGCTTCAAGACGCCTGCCTTTCTGCAGAGACACCAAAGGTCAGCTCCTTGCTGCCGCGAGGCAAATAGCAAGATGAATCATCCACAGGGCAGGTAACAAATGAGCTGAACCAAAGGCAAAGGCAAGGGCGCAGTCTTGGGTAGGACCCAGCTCAGCCATGTGTGCAGGGTCAGGGCAGGACTCGCATCTTGCTGGAGTCTGACACCCACGGCATCCAGGCCTTCTGCTGGTGGGACAATGTTGTCTCCAGGAAGACACAGGAATATTGATCCTTTTATCCCAGAAGAAAAAGAAGATGATGAGATGAGTTGAGTTGAGATGAGATGAGATGATGGACCCTCCAGGGAGACATGGACCATGCTTCTGGCTTTGGATGCTCAATTTGCCTTCTGTCTCCAAGACCATCAGTTAAGCCCAAATGATACAACATCAGGAGAGCCAGCTGGGGTACTGCAGAGCCTTGCATGCCCTCGCACTGGCTGACCTGGCAGGGACCTGCATGGCTGTTGGTGACCATGGTCAGACCCAGGATCGCATGAAGCACCCTGTCACCAAGTATCTGCGGCCGTGCACTAACAGTCTGGCACTCAGGGAGCTCTTCCACAGCCAGGTTGGCTCTCCACGGCCCCACATGCCAACCGGTGAGATGGAGGCCTGATCTGTAATAGGCATAGTGGTGTAAGGAGGCAGCTAGGCATGTCTGGGGTTTCTGTGGTGTGTAGGCTGATCCCAGCAGGTCTCCACAGGAGTGGAGCTCCTCTGGAAACCTCACATGGTGCCTATCTGCATGTTGGGGAGAGTCTCGTGGGAGGCCAGCCCTTGGTTCTTCAGTGCTGTAGAGGTTAACGTGCTCAGCATCGTTGAACCAGTCTCAGGCTGCCAGTGCTGCTGGCAGAAGTGCAGGGGACAGCAGTCCAGACAGCCCTCCATCCCCAATGTGCTCCTGCTGTGCTCCAAAATGCAGCCAGGCTCCTACACCCACAAGAGCAGGAGCAGGGCAGCAAGTCCCAAGGAAAGGGTGAGGATGATGAAGGCGACAGCCACAGCCCACAGGGAAAGAACGTGCCCCTTCAGCCGTGCCGGAGCCTCTGCCGGGATCATGTTGGTGAGGTTCAGCATGTACCCCAGCGTCCAGCCAACGTCGGCACTCCCCGCCTGCCCAAGGAGAGAGGGGACAATGAGTCAGCCCTGCAGGAAAGCCCCACCAACGACGCAGGGCCACCTACTCCTGCTCGACTCAAACCAGGTGCAGTGGCTGGCCCCCACCCAGTGCCATGTGGGGATGGGGGGCAGGCAGGGCTTTCTGCACCATGGCCCTCATGGCAGCCCGGCATGGGAAGCTGGCTCTTCTCCCAGCGCTGCCTCTACTCCTGCCCACAGGCTGGGTTTGCTGCCTACCTTCATCTGGAAGAAGATGTTGTTCCAGCTGGTCTCGTTGAACTTGTAGGCGTCGAGGAGGAGTGTGAGGATGTAGTTGGCGTTGGCGCAGTACTTAGGCAGTCGCTCAGGATTCTCTTCAGGGTAGCTTGAAGACAGCTGAGGTGGGGACATGTTTGGAGAAGAAGGGAAGTTACTTGCAGGCAATTTCCATGCAGGGACAATGTTCTGATGACTGCTGCATGAGGGGCAATGGCTCCACAGCCACCAGCATTCAGAAAAAGACTCCTGGACCAGGCAGGTATTTTAGACCTGTCCACACAGGTCTGTCCTGTAGGTATTTTAGACCTGTCCTCCTCCTTTGAGAAGGATTTACTGTCTATGTGGAAACAGAGAGACATATTGGAGTTACTCCTGCCCCGGATTCTCCCACCTCAGCCTTCCCGTGCAAGGGGCTCCTGCTCTCTGTCCCATGGTGGTCCTACCACTCCTCTTGGCCTTATCCATCCCCATTTGACTCCTCCCCAGAGTGGTGCCAGCAGCTGGCTCCCCTCTCGCCATCCTCCAGGGCTCCATCCCCACCTCCATCCCCAGCTCCTGTGCTCGTGAGGAGATTTTGCTGCCTTCACCTGCCCTGGTTGCCCCCTTCCCAATGTTGCATGAGCAACAAGGGTCGGTGCAGGACTGTCCTGGTTCCGTCGCAGAGCTCAGGGATGGCTCCACTGTGTAGGGCATGGTTCAGCAAACAGAGAGCCTTGCCCTGGGGGGGTTCCTGCTCCTCTTCCCCCACCCCAGGACCCCTTTGCTTGTGAAACTTCCCCACAGCTTCCCATCATGGGAACATACATCTTCCCAGCTTCTTGTGCAGAAATGCTTGATGTTCTCCCTGACAGTGGCCAGCGACTGCCCCTCGGTCAGGTTGAGAAACTTGAAGTTATAGTAGAAGGCAGAGAAGGCCTGAAAGGCAAGAGGCAGAAATGCTGTTGAGTTACAGTGGGGAACCCCCCAGGCAGCTGCCCCCATCTCCCTGGAAGCCAGAGGTGGGCTTTGTCCTTCACTGCGTTTGTCCCACCCCTGCATAGTCCCAGGGCATCGCTGTCCCATGTCCCAGCAGAGATGATGGGCTGGGGGTGCAGGTGCTGCAGCAGCCCATGGAGCCCATGGAGCACAGGCAGAGCTTATGGGAGGGCTGCTGGCCAAGCTTTTCTTTCTAATTGAAAACTTGGTTTTCAGCTAAGCACCTGTTTTATTAACACGGTCCCATTTGGAGAGTTGTCTGTGTGGTTTCAGCTGAGATACAGTTAATTTTCTTGCTAGCAGCTGGTATAGTGCTGTGTTTTGGGTAATGATAACACACTAATATTGTAGTTGTTGCCCAGCAGTCAAGGACTTGTCAGCTTCTCACGCTGCCCTGCCAATGAGAAGCAGGGGGGGACCAAGAAGCCAGGAGGGAACACAGCCAGGACAGCTGACTCAAACTGACATTCCATACCATATGACGTCATGCTCCATATAGAATTGAGGGGTGAGCTGGGAGACGGTGCAGCTCAGGAACTAACTGAGTGTCGACTCTGGTGTGGTGTGCATCACTTGTTTTGCTATTACTATTGTTATTATTGCTATTGTTATTATTATCTTCCTTTTCTGCCCTATTAAACTGTCTTTATCTCAACGCACGAGTTTTAACTTTTTCTTTTCAATTCTCTCCCACAACCCACTGTGGGGGGAGGAGTGAGCAAACAGATGTGTGTTTGTTTTAGCTGCCGGCGGGGTTAAACCACGCCACCACTGGAAAACCAGACAATCCTGGTGTGCCCTGGGGCAGTGGTAATTTGGGTGCTTCTTTTCCCTGTTCTGCTGCGGGGAGGTGACAGTGTCACGCAGGGACGCCACAGCACCCGGGGACACGCTCTGCCGAGGAGGTGGGAGAACAGGATTTGCCTTACAATGAACTGCCCGCGGACGGGGGGCTGGTAGACGCCATCGAAGGTGCAGTCCTGGCTCTGGCCACATGCCGAGAAGTTGAACAGCTTCCTGACAGCAGTCAGGCACCCGCTGGCATCGCCCCTGCCCTGCAGGGTCACGTTCTTGTTGTCGAGGGTCAGGCGTGGGTCACTCTGGTTCGTGCAGGGGCTGGTGCGGAAGGAAGACAGCAAGACGGTTTCATTGTAGTCTT